GCATGATGATTTCCATTCCTCTGGGTATATTCCCAGCAGTGGGATCGCTGGGTCATATGGTAGATCTATCTGTAATTGTTTGAGGAACCTCCATATCATTTTCCATAAAGGCTGCACCATTTTGCAGCCCCACCAACAGTGGATGAGAGTTCCTTTTTCTCCCCAACCTCTCCAACACTTATCATTCTCAGTCTTTTGGATGTTAGCTATCCTAACTGGAGTGAGATGGTATCTCAGTGTGGTTTTGATTTGCATTTCCTGGATGTTGAGTGATATTGACCATTTTTTCATGTGTCTGTTGGCCATTCATATATCTTCCTTTGAGAAATGCCTATTCAGCTACTTTGCCCATTTTTTAATTGAGTTATTTGTTTTTTTGCACAGCCCTGATTTTTGAACTGTGTAAAACATTATGAATGTAAAACTGTGTTTGGGGCCTTTCACGTACCCCTTCCAAATGGATGTAATGTTTGGAATCAGAAATCAAAAATGAAGATATCAAAGATGTCATGAAGAATGTTAGTACACATCTGTCATATTTAGGATAGAACCTTAAGCTATTAAAGTTGTAGGAAATGAAGAGGTAGCTAATAATTCAAATGTAAAACTGCCTGAAAAAATGAGGCAGTGCAAAAAGTACTACAGTCAAAATAAATTCCTTTGAGCTTTTTAAAGATGCCTCACTTGCTTTTTGAGTGGCAAAACAGTATGATTTATTAGGAGATTAGAGTAGGAGTATTATTTCATTGGATAATACTTTTTTTTAAAATCATGTATTCAGAAAGGAGTTGCCATATTCTTAGGTAGGGGCCAGAGTTCTTTTTTTCTTTTTTAATGGAAAGACATCTGCAAGATTATACACTAAGTGAATAGGAAAGTAAGTTTTGATTTACAGATTTTTTTCTCTATTAATTATTAATTACACAAATAACACAGGATTATATTGTCTTTATAAAACATAAAACATTATAGGATGTTAATTAATAGAGATATACTCGTTTCAATTTCCCTTTACATTTTTAGACCTCTTAAAATTTATTTTTTTTCTGTGAAAAACACATGATTATTTTTGCATGAGTATGTATTTACATATGTGGTATTATCATATATATTTTTCTGCAACTTATTTCAAGAACAAAATGTCACTATATATATGTGTGTGTGTATATATATGTCTATCTATAAAAAATATAAAAACAACCTTATATATTTTGTACTTGTAGTTTTTCAGGGATACATGAAGTTCATAAGTGAAATATCTCTAGGTTTAATATTTTTAAAAGATTTTATTCCTATAATAAGTTTTATTAAAGGTCTGATTAATTTTATTGCTTTTCATGTTAACAGTAAAGAAATGTGAAAAACATTTTAGGGTAATAGCAGAGTCAAACTGACTGAAGTTTGGCATTTAACTTGATAATCAATTCCCAAGTCACAGGAATATTCATAGTATTATTTTTTGAGGATTATCACATGTGTTCTCTTGCAGGTGTGAAATTCCTGCTTGTGGCCTTTTGAACCAGTTGGTGAGCCTTGTTAAAAATTGCATCTATTAATTATAAATAGTATTTCAGTTATATTGTAGTTCAGTTTACCTGGGTTTTTGATTTTTCTAAATTAACAGGTAAAGTTGGAATGTAGATAGTTTGTCTTATGACCTTGAGACTGCAAGTGAGAATGATTTCAAATGAGCCATGTTATTTATAATTATAAGATTTCCTACTAGATTGAATAAACCCTATTTGTATCAAACTGACAATCTTTCAGTAGAAAGTGATCATTTTTTGCTAGGGACTGTTTTTGTATTGACATCTTTAATGTGAAGGTGAGATTGTAGTACTTTGATAATAGTTCAAAATTTTCATCAACACTCATGTCATTTTCTGAGTGAAGTTTTAGATGAGTGGGTAAATCACTTTCACATAACTTTTTTTTTTTTTTTTGGTGTGGCTGGTGGGCGTGGGGATCTGAACCCTTGACCTTGGTGTTACAACACCACATTCTGACCAGCCACTATCACATAACTTTTGACAGGCAAACAAAAAAGTTTTAAGATACTAACTGATTGCTTAATTTGAGCACTTCAAATTGTCTAAAAGTCACTCTCCTCAGTTAAGACCTTACTCTTGAAATTTTTTACTACAGGA